CTGGTTTCCAGGGTAGCGGTGTGGGAAAATCCGTCAGAAAATCCGCCATGGTCCTTCATCTTTACTCTTTACACCCCTTTATTTATCAATTCGCTCAGTGATTTCTGATTTACCGTAGTGTAGTAGTTTCAATAACATATTGACAATGACTATGCTAATACAGCCGTATGATAAATCGCCTTTTACGATTTTTCAGCCGTATGTTCAGGTTTCTGTTGCTATGGAGCTTATATTGATTCTTCTATACCTATTCTAGCAACAAACTATTTTTAATACCATGTTCCTTTGAGCTCTCAAAGATGGAGTATCCGAAGGCTATTAAATCTACTCTCTGTACTGCTCTGAAATTTTATGAATTCGGTTTGTCATTTTCAGTCCGATTATAATCACCAAAGTACAGGATTACTAGTAAAGCACTGGGTTTTGGAGGGGATTCGAGCCCATGCTCACTTCCTTACTTTCCTGGCACCACGATTGGTCATTACCTAACGATTACTCTTAAGTATTCTGCTGGGTACCTATTATGTTATACTAACGATAGGCAAAAAAGGTGGTGATATGGAATTTCTGACCGGCTATCATGGAAGGAAACAACCAATTTATTCAATCTGTCCAGTCTGGACAGTGTTGAGGGAATAGGGAAGGGCGTAATTACCACACTCACTGTTAGGTGATCAACTCTTTATACCCAAGCCAACCGGCTACTACACCGCCATGTTACTGTTTTAGGTAGGTATGCCCTGAAGACCTGGAGGTGGTGTAGAGTTTAATCGCACTCGCTCCAGATATCGACCACTCCATACTGATTCCCGCCCATGCGCTAACCAAACCACCCACACGGTCGGGTCGGTTAATTGGTGAAAGACTAGTCTGGGATGAAAAAAAGCACTGACCAATAAGTCGCAACGATCTTGATTGGGAATCGAGTTCGATCTTGTGCCTCCCAGAACAGCGTTGACCACTGCACAAAACTCATTCCTTCATCCTTTTCTCGTGTCTCATCGTAATGTGTGATCACTGATCTTGTACTGATCACTTCCACCAAGTATGCTTCAGATTTTCCCACATTCCTGATCGATTAATGAGTGCATGAAGTTCCTCAGGGAACTGATCTCATCCCTATCCTTTCCGTTTGCCCCAAGATTCGGGCTCGGGAAGCCTCGATGGAAGATAGATAGTTCGCATTTTATTGCTCAACAAATTGTACTTACTCTACAGGTGCAAATGGCTGATAAAGTCTTTTTATCGCTTTGTTCTTCAGATTCATTGGGGTGTGCCATTGCAGCAAATATTTTTGGAC